TCTATGGCATTTTTAGTCACTAGCTGGACGTTAACATGTCAAATTTTAGGAATACCTAATCTTTAGAGAGTTTAAAAAAAAACAGATGAGCTATTTTAAGATAACAGTGTGATGACACTTCAGCTGGGGAGGGGGCACACAGTTAACTGAAAGCCAGTAGGGCCGGCATAACTTACCCAAAGAGCAGCACACAGGGTAAATATGAAACACAACTACAAGGGAAGAAAGAGTAGATTATAAATTTGAGATCCTTTCAAAAGCCTAATAGAAATGCATAAACTATTCTGCATTCATTTGCATAGGTAATATACTATAGAACAAAAGTAAGAATACAGCTGACTAGTTTTACTTACATTTTCTGTAAGTATTACTTTACTTTAAAGTCTACGACTGCAATAGTCCTTGGCAAATTGGAAGCACCTGATAATTTACTCTGTTAAGTAAACTGAAAGATGATCATTCCTCATCCCTGTGAAAGCAAGTAGGCACAGGAGTGAACGTGAGAGGTGGGCGGTGTGGTATTGGAAAGACCTAAAGAGATCCCAGCTCTGACGCCTGCTATCTGAGGGTCCTTGGTGAAGTCAGTGGACTTGTCTAAACCTGTTTTCTTCTCTTTAAAATGAGGAGAGTTCCCACCTACATGCTTTAAAGGGCTGTTGTAACGAATAAGGTAGAGTGCATCCATGATGGACTTGAGCTAGAAGCTGGCACGTGCAAGGCTCTACGTGACAGAGCCTCTTCACCACCATTACTAGGCATGATCTTATGTGGGCAGCAAATCAAACCAATCAAAGTGCTCCACCTTGGGAAATGTCTTATATGTTCAAACGCTCCCGCATTCTCTCAATTTGATGTGTATTTTTGTAAGGTACAGTATGTTACTGAAAAGGCTGAGGGATAAGTGCCAGGATTTCTTAAATAAAACTAATCTAACTAAAATCTTCGTGGAATATAAACTACTTATATTCTAACAGTGAAATATAATTTCTTCGTAAGCTAAAGTTAAATGTTTATATATATGTTGTTACATATGCTATTATAGGAAATTCAAAATAACTGGAGATTATAAAAGTAAGAAAATAAGAAGTTGAATAAAGACATAATAAATAAAGCTAAAAATGATTCCTCTAGTGAGGAGATGGGAGAAGACTGACAGGCAGATTAGAGTTAACAAACATTTCTTTGTAAATTAACATAGGTTAGCTGTGTTTGGAAAGCTCATGTTAATAGTTATAATGGTGATATTTAAATCCTTTAAATATCATAAATGCTTGAAGGCAAAAGAAATCCACAAGAGACACAGACCAGGTGAGTTAGGCGACAGAGGCAGGATGGAGAAGAGATTTGGGTCCCCCTCCTGCCCACAATACACGAAACGATGAACAGCTCAACACCCGGCATGTGTGAGAATGGAAACAACCTTTCTAGCCAAAGCGTAAACTCTAATCTACCCACCACCCGGGCTCAAGAAAACAAGAGCGATGACCTGAGAGTTGTGGACAGAACCCACAATGTAATGGAAGGCCCATTTAAAGATACTGTTACGGGAGCCATATTGTTAGAATGTGTCAAGTCGGCACACAGGGAAGGGACAAAAGTCAGATGACAAATGATGCTAAATCTCCCTAAGAATATTCTAAAGACACAGAAGTATGGTGTCTATGGAGGGTGTTCTGGAGGGTGTCTACGCCCACCCTCCAAAGGGTACAAACTAACAATCCCTTATGAAACCATCGGCAGGGCTTAAAAATGAAAGCACACTCGGCTCTAGGGTTCATTTAAATACACAGCTACACCCATTCCATATACACAACAGAAGCAGGCTTTACCCAGCCAGTAGTTTTAGATAATACTGTACCATCTGAACTCTATAACACACAGGACATAATTTTTTATTTTTTTCTTTTTTAGACAGAGCTTCACTCTTGTTGGCCAGGCTGGAGTGCAATGGCGCGATCTTGGCTCACTGCAACCTCCGCCTCCCAGCTTCAAGCTCTGTTACCCAGGCTGGAGTGTAGTGGCGCGATCTTGGCTCACTGCAACCTCCGCCTCCCACGTTCAGGCAATTCTCCTATCTCAGCCTCCCAAGTAGCTGGGATTACAGGCACATGCCACCACGCCGGGCTAATTTTTGTATTTTTAGTAGAGACGGGGTTTCATCATATTGGTCAGGTTGGTCTTGACCTCCTGCCCTCAGGTGATCCGGCCTCCTAAAGTGCTGGGGTTACAGGTGTGAGCCACCGTGCCCGGTCAGATATAATTATTACATCCAGCACAAGAAGTATACATACCTAAGAACAGACAATTATTCATAAAACAACAGTGCAAATACTTCAATAAAAGTTTTAAAAATGCACTATTTACTTACGAGCATAATAATTGTTGCAAGCAATCTTGTTGTTTCAAACATTTTCTTCAGTTGCTTCACAGGTCCCATTAAAAAGCATGTACTGTTTGAAACAAATAAAGTTTAACTGAGGTACAGGTCTACTAATTGATCTGGCTATGCAAAAATAAACTGTTTTTTTAAAAAAGAAACCCTGTTGGTTTATTTAGTTAACATCTCTCACTAAATCTGTTTTATTTTTTCCTTAACTTTATAAAGAAACTTCACAACTATTCCACTAGACATGCTATGGTCTAGGTGTCACACCATGGTGTGAAGGTGTCCTCTTCCAAATGCAGGTGTCCTCAGCGTGGTAGTGTGAAGACCGGATTAGGCTGTGAGAACTCCTCTGAAAGGGATCAGAGGCACTTGGAGGAGAGGCTGCCCAGGGGTTGCTCTTTTCTGCCCTGGGAGGACACGGGGATCTTCCCCTTGGGGGATGCAGCCATCAGCAGGAAACTGAGCCTGCCAGTGCCTTAACCTTGGACTTCAGGCCTCCATCTGTGAGGAAAATTTCTCTTCTTCCTAAGTCACCCAGTCTACAGTATTCTGTCACTGCAGCACAAAAGGGACTAACACAAATAACCACCCAAGGATGAGTCAAAGGTTCTCCAAGAGGGATTCTCACACTCCCAATCTAAAGCAGCCCTCAGTCACTACCGCCACACCCTATTTTAATTCTCTGCACAGCACCAGTGCCATCCCATCTTTCTCTGGCTTATGACGTGAACATCTTCATTAAAATGTAAGCTCCACAAGAGCAAGGCCTAGAGTGCAGCAGCTCCAAGCCTGGGCGCCGGAGCCCACTGTCTGTGGGATTCCCACCTCAGCCATGATTCAGGTTCACTGCCACGGGCAGCACTGACCCCCCTGCTCTGTGCTATTATCTCCGGCTATAAACGGGGATGATAATACTGCCTACCTCACAAGCTCGCCGTAATACACATAAAACACTCCGAACAGTCCCACACCGTAAGTGCCCCACAAAGGCTGGCTATTCCTAGCACTAATACGGTCTGTTATGGGAGACGGTATGTAGCAGCAGTCAATACATATTTACTTAATATACGTAAATCCTGTGGCTGAATTCACAATACGTACAGAGCTACATAAACATCCTACTGGGAAAGTGCTTATTAGAAAGGTACATTTGGTAGCAAGAGCAAACCAGATATTTTGAGAAGCCAAACGTACCTGGCTAACGCAGCAAGATTGCCGAGGGTATAAAACACTGCAAAAAGCTTTATGCCGCCCGGAAGCCACAGCAATCCAGTTCCCTAAGTTAAGATATTACAGTTATTTAAAAATAATTTTACGATTTTAATGGTTAAAATATAAAAGTGCTACTGCAGTAATACAATACCAATATTATGTAAATACAAATGTTTAAATACAAATCTGCTCGTAGACAGTCTAGTCTGATTACACAGAAAAAAGTTAATTTTCAATGTTATACGCTAACTTGAATCTTCTTCCTATTTGCACTAGCATATATAAATGAGTCATAACAACACTTTCTTTGTGCTTATCAGTAAATCTCAGTCTATTTAGTTAAATATTCATGCTAAATGTCAAGTATGAAAAGGTAATAAACATCTAGATTACTGATTTTCCAGATCTTTTAACACACTGATAAATTTTTCTTAAATTACTTCAACTATCCACAAAACTCCCCAAAATATTAATTTCTATGTATTTTCATTGATCTCTACCCCTTTATTTCAGTTCACTAAATATGTTCCACCAAAATAGTCTAACAGGGATTTAGTAAAGGACATTCATTTTTGGTACTAAATGGAATTATTAGTCTAATACAAAATAAAAATTATTAAACAATATAAAGCCTTAACTCACAAGAATAGAAAAGAAAATGCCACATACGAAGCAGATGGCAAACCATTTCAATCTGGTGTTGAAACTAAGGGATGAGGCATCCAGGACCTTAATAAAAAATGGGAAAATTTAGAATATAGTCTTAATTCACCACCAATCTGATTCTTTATCCTAAATTAAAGCAAAGTTTTAACACACAGTCTAAATCATTTATTTTGCATATCACAGTGTCGTTTAAGAATACTAAGATTCCACGGTTGTTATGAGTAATATGACCATGGTCTGGGTAGCAGATGATGCTGAGGAATAACCATTAATTTTGCTAAGTCTGATAATATGTTTCACAAAAGTCCTTATCTGTTAGGGACAGCCAATATACACTGATATGGATAAAATGACATATGAGATATATTATAAAATATACAAAGATTAAAAAAATACGGGGGGCAGATACGCAGGCCAGGCAAAACACTGAAACTGTTGGGGCTGGGAAAGAGTTCACAGGTTCATGACTGGTTCTCTCAGCCTCTGTAGGATGAATTCCTTAGGCTCCCAGATGCAGAGTCTGAGGAGATACTTAGGCAGGAACTGCTCTCGGAAGCCTTTAAGAAGTGAGGGAAGTGGAATAGAGAAGCGGAAGGAACCAAGCAAGGACATGGTTTCACCCAGAGTGCAGGGTGGGCCTGCAGTGTCAACGCACTGCACTGCCAAGTCCTGCTGTGAGGCAGAAGCTGGCCTTCTAGACGCCACCTCCCTTCGGCCGGTCATTGGCTGCAGGCCGGGGGTGGAGTGGGGTGACTGCACCCCATAGAGGGTAGAGGACGCTGGCCACCTACAGGAGGCAGCCTGAGCAGAGACCATCACAGCACACACCAGACGGTGCCCATTCTAAGCTCTTTCAATCCAAGCCATGAAAGCTTTGGGCCCCTCCTCCACCACTGTAAAAACGTACTGTGAAATGACCATTTATTCTAGAGCAACAGCATTCCTACATAGCACGCCAATTCTAGCCAAATTATGTGGGGAAAAGAGTAGAAATTACTGTGTCTACTTTCTACAGTATGATAACCCAGCAACAGTAGGTGCAATAAACACACTCAGATTACTAATTATACTATTAAAACACACTTTCCCAGTAAGGCTAAAAAAAAGTACATAGACAGCAGCTGTACAAGAAACTAGAAACACACAGTAAGGATTTATATTCCAAAATTTAAGTTTCTAATTTATACTACCACATCCACTTAAAAATAAGACTACATGCTTATATTTTCAAGAATAATGAAAAATAAGAGAAAGTTCCATATGCAACAGCTCAAAATACATTTTGGTTACATTCCTTACCTCAAGAGATTAATCTGTGAATCCTTATGTAGCATGAAAAGCAGATAAAAATAACTAAGTATTCTGTAATGAAACATATATCACTCTTTAACACATTTTAAATGTTTTTTACGTTTTGTTTTAATTCACAGACATTCTTGTTTCCAGCAATGTCATCTGTTTACGGCAAAACTAAACACTTGATTTTCAACAAAGAGTCAACTTGCCTATAAAAACATCTAAATTTCATTCTTACTGATCAGGAAGAATACGAATACACACTAAGTATATTTTAACTACGCAGGCCAGAATAAACTGGAAAGACTGAACTACATAGTAAATGATCTGTTAAAAAAAAAAAAAATGGAGACATGTTCATTAGCTTGATTTAACCATCCCACAAAGTATACATGTCAAAACATCGCGCTGTACACAATAAATGTATACAATTTTTATTTGTCAATTGAAAATGGAAAGAATAAACTAGTGATTTCTAAAGGTTAGTGTGAGTCCACAATGATGTGAGGATTTAGTGAGAGGAAAAAGCATCCATTTTTCCTTCTTTTACAAGTTCAAATCACCCCATTGTTCACAAGTTCAACGCTGGTTTTCAACAGCCAGTTTTTCTCTCAGCAATGAAACAGCATGGTTATTTGTATAAAAGTAGGTATTTTTTCCTCTTATTGCCATCTTCCATGTACTGATCTTTAAAACGAAACAGCATGACAAATTATTTCCATTTGTAAACATGGAATATTCAATCCATAAGCAAATGATTTGTCTCAAGTCTTGCAAATTGTCCAGGATACAGAAACAAATACAGATTTCCTAACTGCTAACTGGGAAAACTGCGAAATGCTTCAACATGAAAGAAAACCTGGCAGTGCATCTTCCAACTAGGAGACAGAAGGAACCCTCACATCTGCTTATCACAAGCATTATTTTTGAGACGGAGTCTCTGTTGCTCAGGCGTGATCTCAGCTCAAAGCAACCTCTGCCTCCCACAGTCAAGTGATTCTCCTACCTCAGCCTCCCAATTAGCTGGGACTACAGGTCCACGCCACCATGCCTAATTCTTTGTATTTTTAGTAGAAATGGGGTTTCACTATATTGGCCAGGCTGGTCTCAAACTCCTGACCTCATGTGATCACCCACCTCAGTCTCCCAAAGTGCTGGGATTATAGGCATGAGCCACAGCACCCAGCCTGCTTACCATAAGCATTTATGTGCTGCTTAATTTTACCACCCACCAATCAGGAGCAATCCCACCAAAAACAGCAACTTTGTTAATCTCTTAGTCTTAGAAAAGAAATAAAATTGCCACCTCTTTCTCTCCCAAAACCACCATCAATCATTTTACTTACCTGTTACCACAGGAAGGGGAAGCCAAGAGAATACAGGCCCTCCAGCAGGGACTGCTCTCCCTATTCCCGCCACAGTAAACACAGCACTGCTTGCAACTAGAACTTCATTGATCTTTTTAAAAAGCAGGTGAGAAACATAACAGAGGAAAATGTAGTCCTAGCAGCAACAACACGAAGGCTGAATGAGTGGCTCCCACAGCACAGCCGAAACCCACCCCTTCAGGTGACGGAGAAGCGGAGGAACAGCTCTAACCCATGCAGCGCCAGGAAACAGCACAGCTGGAAGGACCTGAGCCTTGCCCCTGGACTTCTGCCATCTAAACACAGAAAACACTTGTGGCTTTCCACTAATGATGACACTGAACCCAGCATTCCTCCCACTCCTTTTTCAAAATACCAGTGGGTATAAAAAGACAAACTTGCGCAGACAAGTGAGAAAAAGAAACAGGCATCCGCAGACCCTCAGGCCCATTCCAGGTGGAACTGCCCGCTCCCCTAGTCGCCCGCTCCCCACATCAGCTGCTGTGGTCCACACTTTTGAGAGCCACCCTCTTCCTCCTCCTCATTCAGGACTCTTGATCAGGGGGCCGACCCAGATCCTTGCAGCATCTAGCACGGTTTCCACGTCCACATGGGCAGCCTGGCCTTTCTGTTTCTCATTCCCTAATCTCCACTGGCATTTCCCCTCCAGTTCGTGACCCAGCCCAGGGCAGTTGTTCTACCCGAAATTACACCATCGCCAAAATTCCGGCTGCCACTCTCTGACCGCAGCAGGCTGGTTCCTTGGCTCCCACTGTGCTGACTCTTTGGCCTCCTGAACACCTCATCCCGCCCTTCTCCTTTTTTTCAGTGGCTTCAACAGGACATTCCAATTCCCTTTCCGCTGCCTCCACCCGGTAACATCCCACCGGAGTGCAGCTTTCCCTCCTCCTGCTCCAGGAGGTGCTGAGCTGAGCTCTGCTGGGTGAAGTCAGGCACAGGGCAGGGGGGTCCTGAGCCAGTCCTCATCAGCACCCCATGGCCTGCACACTGCTACCTGGCAATCTAAGGCTTCTTGCTTTATCTCAATGTGCATTTTACTCTAACCCACTTTGAACCTCCACTTCCTGCCCCACGCTTCCATTCTTAGCAGACAACTTCCCCTACTTCACACACAGAAACCCAAAGTCATCAGTGGGAACTCCCTCACCTTCCTGCTGCTACCAAACCACCAAACCCACCCAGTAAGAACACCCATGGCTCTCGTCCTTTCCTGGTTCCCACAGAGCTGAGATCCACCTGTCCACCCTGCTTTACAGCCAACCCCTGACCTGCTCAGGAATTTATACTAGTGGGCTTTTTCCTCTAGTGAATGTGTTCTCACTCTCTGAAACTGTGTCCTTCAACTTTTAAATATGCTGAAACCCCTTCCATCTTAAACAGAAAGCTTACTTGACTTCACCTTCCAGCCTCTGTACACTCACCCCTTCATCCATCCATCCATCCATCCACTAATTGGCTCAATACTTACTGAGTGCCGCTATGTGCCTGTTCTAAGTGCTGGGTAAGGGATCTAGCTCCTGGTTAAAAATCTATGTGCTGGCTGCTACAACAAAAATACCATAGGCCAGGCACTGTGGCTCATGCCTGTAATCCTGGCACTTTGGGAGGCTGAGGCAGGCGGATCGCTTGAACCCAGTTCAAGACCAGCCTGGGCAACATGGCAAGACTCCCATCTCTGCAAAAAATACAAAAATTAGTCAGGTATGGGGGCACACACCTGTGGTGCCAGCTACTTGGGAGACCGAGGTGGGAGGATCACCTGAGCCCGGGAGTCAGAGGTTGCAGTGAGCCAAGATCACACCACTGCACTCCAGTCTAGGTCAGTCTCCCAAAGAGCCTATACAGCTGCGGAAGCTCGTCATTGCAGGGCTGAGCTTTGACACAACTGATGAGAACCTGAGAAGCCAATCTGAGCAATGGGGAACGCTCATGGACTGTGTGGTCATGAGATCCAAGCACCTAGCACTCTGGGGGCTTTGGCTTTGTCCTGTATGCCACTGTGAAGGAGGTGGATGCGCCATGAATGCAAGGCCACACGAGGTGGATGAAGAGCTATGGAACCAAAGAGCTGTCTCAAGAGAAGATTCTCAAAGACCAGGTGCCCAACTAACTGTGAAAAAGGTATTTGTTGGTGGCATTAAAGAAGACACTGAAGAACATCGCCTAAGAGATCTTGAACAGTGTGGAAAAACTGAAGTGACTGAAATCATGACTGACAGAGGGAGTGCCAAGAAAAGGGGCTATGCCTTCGTAGCCTTTGACAACCAGGACTGTGGACAAGACTGCCACCCAGAAATACCACACTGTGTATGGCCACAACTGTGAAGTTAGGGAAGTCCTGTGAAAGCAAGAGACGGCTATAGTGCGTCATCCAAGCAA